TATAAGTCCGATGAAGACAGCTGGGACCTCATTGATGTGGAAGTACCCTATACTTGACCTTAATGAGCACGGTGAAAAGGAGGTGGTTTGGGAACAAAGGTATCATATAGTAACAAATTTGATTGAAGCGCAAAGAGCTTCTACATAGCTCTCACTGGTTTTGCTATAGAACCTGGCTATGTCTGCAGTTTGATATTTTGTAAGCCAATAGGAATATATAGTCACTAGTTTCAGCATTATGGTTGCCCTGACGGCTGATGCTTTTACGAGTTTATATTGGAGATTAATGAAAGGTTGTATATCTTGATATTTGGATTTTAGTGCAGATTTTGCAAAATGTGGTGATTTTCCTGTGGTGATTCAATAGTTAGTATGCAATCAAAGCAAAGAGAATTATGTTCTAAACTGATGCTATTTAATCCAAGCAGTATTACTTTTTGGAGTTGCAATTTTGCAAATAGATACAACCCTATAGCTCTCCCTGCCTTTAATAATCAATAGAGTAAGGCCTTGCAGTGAATTGGACTGGATAACGAGTTGGTTAATATTGTAAGGTTTAAAGATATCTAGCTTCAATTTCCGCCATTCATTTCTTGTTGCATAGTAGCCTAATAGCATGTTTGGCTAAACTTTAAAAATTAGCGGTTTTTTTCAAAAGTGTTTTTCTCAAAAGTACTTTTGGTGAGAAGCAGTTTGTGTTTGGTTAATTAATTTGAATTTTTTTTGCTTCTCCAAAACTGTTTCTGCTTTTACTCAAAAGTACTTTTTTTCTTCTAAAAGTTTGGCCAAATATTTTAACTGCGGAGAAACTTGTAGGTGCTTGAGACTAGAGAAGTGGGTCTGCAGGAAGGGAAAAACACATGTTTTTCATGTGGGTGTTGGACCCCTCTTCAGAAATGAGGGAGAATCAGTCAACTGAAACGAGAACATAATCTCCTATGACCAATTGCAATTTGATTACAAAAATGATCTTACAAAGATCTAATCTGTTTTATATTGCTGATTATTGTGAAAAAGGACCTTATTAAATGAAACAGAAGTAAGAGGATGGGTTAAATGTAATGTTGGGAAGCAAACACTGATAAATTCCTATTTACCACTCAAAACGTAACAAGAGGCTCAGCAGACAAAGGGAGATAGTCTTGTTTTTTTCACTTAAAAATTAAAGTCTTGGCAAGCAAAAATGATGGGACTTTGATAGGCCAATACGGTTGTTTTAATCCTTGGGAAAGCTATCACCCGATATAATAGCCTGTTTGGCGAAACTTTTTTTTGGCCAAAATTTTTTTTTTTTTTTGTCAAAAGTACTATTGACAAAAAATTGAGGTGTTTGGCCAAGCTTTTGGAAGGAAAAAAAGTGTTTTTGAGGAGAAACAAAAACAGTTTTGGAAAAGCAGAAAAAAGTAGTTTCTTTCCAAAATCACTTTTTTGAGAAGCACTTTTGAGAAAAATACACTTAGAAGTAGTTTTTTAAAGCTTGGCCAAACACTAATTGCTGCTCAGAAATACTTTTCAAACTAATTAGCCAAACACAAACTGCTTCTCACCAAAAGTATTCTTGAGAAAAGCACTTTAAAAAAAAATACTTCTCAAAATAAGCTGATTTTTGTAGCTTGGCCAAACGAGCTATAAGGCATAGAGGTTGCGTAATTTAGTTTTGTGAAAACGACTAGTTAATTAAACCAATAAACTCAGTCACTTCTCAAGATTGTGCAACCCTATTAGATAGTACATTGCAGCAATTTGTTACAAACTCAGAGTGTCGTTTAGATTGGGGTCTTTGTGCACCTGAGATCTATTGCTAGGAATTTCATATACACGTTGAGTTTTTTTTTCCCTAGATTCTCAACATATTCTTCCATTTTTTTGTAGCAACCCCTTTGGGAGGGTACTACTTAGGAAACAAATCTAATTTCCTACTTACAAAATATTAAAAGAGATATTAATAAAAATATTCAAAATAATTTTAGTAGCGGAAGTAGGCCCATGCGAAAAGGTTCAAAGTGCAATATTTTTTTTTTAAAATACACCATAATTTTATTTTAAATGAAATACAATGTCCAAAATGTTAACATATGGTGATATAACCCTTCTTGATTAATCAACAGATTAAAGAAACTTCCTAACAGATTTATACAATCTTTCAAAATCACTACAAGTTTGTATTGTACATAAATTTTAAACTATCGGGTAAAAAAAAGAAACTAGTTTTCTCCTTTTCTACATATTTACAAGACAAAGTGTAAATTCAGTATATTACAAGACTTGAGTTATTAAAACACCCTAATACAATAAAATAGGCTACAAATTCAAGTTACAAGATTTTGGTCTTTAAAATCCAACAAACCTCCAAATAACATAAGTGTGACATATATATATATATATATATATATATATGTATTATATCTTGTATATCATGTACACAAAATACAATAAATTAAATTAAACAAGTATGCAAAACTTTATAAACTCCAAGTCTTTTTCAAGAAAGGAAATAACAACAAATACTAGGTACTATCACAACAAAACAAATCCTAGAATCACAAATCGTGGCTCTGATACCAAAAAGATATGTAGAAAATTCTAGTAGGTGTCTAGTATAAAAACGAGTTTAGAAACTTACCAATAGGAGCAACTTGATCTTCACTAAAAACGAAATTTGTTTGTTAATTTAGTAGAAATCCATGATTTTTTTCATGAAACTTCAGATTTTCAAGTTTCTACGGAGGAGAGAGATAGAGAGAAGGAGGGAAAGATAGAAAGAGAGAGATGGATAGCTACTCTTCTTTGTCTTGAAGAGTAGAAATAAAATGGTTACCCAACTACTAAATATTCTTAGATAAATACAAAAGGTTGGAAACCAAAACTTAATTATATATTATATTTAATAATAACTAGTCAAAATAATATTAAATGTTACATATAACAATATCATGAAACTTCATTGTCAATATTAACACAACCTAAAGTAAGAAATTTTCATATATTGACCATTTCACATTTAGGAAGTGCAAAGTAAAATATTTCCTCGTTATAAAAATGTCCAATCAAGAATGCAAATATTATAAAATATTTTTGGGGTGTTACAACTCTGTCCCCCTAAAAAACTAGTCCCGAAACAAATGTGGATATTGAACTCGCATATCCTCTTCTCGCTCCCAGGTAGCTTCTTCGCCTGAATGATTTCTCCAAAGAACCTTCACTAATGGGATTCTCTTATTTCTAAGCTCTTTTATCTCACGCGCTAAGATTTGGATTGGTTCTTCTTCATATGTCAAATCAGGATTAACCTCAATAGACTCAATAGGAAGAACATGAGATGGATCTGAGCGGTATTTTCGAAGCATAGAAACATGAAAGACGTTGTGGATCTTACCTAATTCAGGTGGCAAAGCTAGCTTATATGCAACCAGACCAATTCTCTCAAGTATTTCATAAGGTCCAATGAATCGAGGGCTAAGTTTACCTTTTTGGCCAAATCTCATAATCTTCTTCCATGGAGAAACCTTTAAAAATACCTTATCG